GGATCCACCAAAACCCACTTCCAGAATTTTTAGATTCAAAAAATTCTAAAAAATTCGAGTTTATGAATAAAAAGAAGCAATATCTATAGTTTACACATAAAATGGTTTTATTTCCAGCTATTGGTCTGGGAATTAGTTTTGTCGATTTTTTTAAATTTTCAAACATTTATTTGAATACCAAAATGAAATTACATTTCAATCAAAATATTGTCCATCGGAAGCGATGACCTTCTGCCACAATGTGGGCAATTGACGGATGCCTGCCTTAAAAAATTCCTCATCTTTTGAGGCTATAAATGCATCGAGCCAATTTTGGATTTCTTCAACTGAAGAGAACCGCTCTCGGTCCATATGGTTTTGCATCGATCGAAACAAATGGTAGTCGGAAGGAGCCAGGTCTGGGCTATACGGAGCGGGTGGTTGTGCTGGTTGGCCGGGCTTAACATACGATGCTTTGCGCTTGGGGTTATCGTAATGAATCCATTTTTCGTCACCAGTGACAATTCGATACAGAAAACCTCTTTTTTTGTGCCTTGCGAGCAGCATTTCGCAAGTCACTAAACGCCTTTCAGCTTGCGCTGGCGTCAATTCATGTGGTACCCAATTTGACAACTTGCGAATGAAACCAAGGGCCCTTAAACGATATCCAACAGTGCTTCGGTCAACATTCAATGCTCTGGCAAGCTCATCTTGAGTTTGACTCGAATCTTCATCGAGCAATGCCTCCAATTCCGCATCTTCAAACTTTTTTGGCTGGCCGGGACGTTCCTTGTTTTCCGTGCTAAAATCACCACTTTTGAACCGTGAAAACCACCGTTCACATGTACGTTCCGATGGAGCATGCTCACCATAGGCTTCCACCAACATTCGATGCGCTTCAGCCGCAGTTTTCTTCAAATGAAAGCAAAAAATTAATGCTTGCGGGAAATGTTGCTTTTTCGGTACAAAATTTGACATATTTAAGGCGCAAAAAAAATGTTTATCCAAACTTCGATGAAATGATAGATGATGATTTTTTTAGTTTGACACTAGACCACTCATGTGAAAAAGAAAAAAGTATTGCCCGATACAACCATGCAAAGTTACGCCATCTTTTGAAAAATCGACACGATTAATTCCCAGACCCAATATTTAGTAAAATCTTCGGCCTTCGAGTTTGCGTGAAACCCCTAGCGATTTCTAGTTTCATTTGTTACAGGTTTGTGTGATTTTTGTGTCAAAAAGTACGATTTTCTGGGACCAAATTGTGCAAATCACGACCATGAGCTTCAGTTTCACGGCTAAATCACCCCAATGAGCAACAATTTCTACCTTTGCTACCTTTGAACATCTAGTATGATCCCTCACGAACATTTTAAGTACCTACATGACCAAGTCGAGTGATGTTTTCATATATTCCTAGCCGCATATTCGGTTGGTTCGATTTCAACTCTCAGAAAATCGATTTTTGGCCAAAAAATCCTTAAGTATAGACCTTTTAGGGTGGGTGTCATTGTGCAAAGTTATTTTTCTTCGAAAATATGGGGAGTCTTACCAGACAAAAACTCTGAAAATTGGCTTTTTGAGGTACCTCCCGAACAAAAGTTATGTTTTTCATGCATTTTGCTATGAAAATATCATTTTTTATTCGGGAGGTACCTCAAAAATCATTCTTAAGAGCTTCTGTTTGAGTAGATTCCCAATTTTTTTCGAAAAATAAATTTTTGCTAAGACATCTATCCAAAAAGTGTATTTCTAGGGTACCTCCCGAATAAAAGTTACGTTTTTTCATAGCAAAATGCATGAAAAACGTAACTTTTGTTCGGGAGCTACCTCAAAAAGCCAATTTTCAGAGTTTTTGTCTGGTAAGACTCCCCATATTTTGGAAGAAAAATAACTTTGCACAAAGACACCCACCCTAAAAGGCCTATACTTAAGGATTTTTTGGCCAAAAATCGATTTTCTGAGAATTGAAATCGAAGCAACGGAATATGCGGCTAGGAATATATGAAAACATCATTCGACTTGGTCATATAGGTACTTAAAATGTTCGTGAGGGATCATACTAGATGTTCAAAGGTAGCAAAGGTAGAAATTGTTGCTCATTGGGGTGATTTAGCCGTGAAACTGAAGCTCATGGTCGTGATTTGCACAATTTGGTCCCAGAAAATCGTACTTTTTGACACAAAAATCACACAAACCTGTAACAAATGAAACTAGAAATCGATCCCTCGTCTAAAATTGACTGGATATAGACACATTTTTGTAGGTATGTTGGCTATAATTTGGCTTTTAGAATTTTTAATTGAAAAAAAAAGGCCAAATTTGAGGTGATTTTCGAATATTTGTTGCTCTATCCATGTCCAGAGGCACATTTTGAGTTGTGATATGGCGTTATATCGATAGCTTGGAACAAACTGAGTCGGATAGAGGTATTTTTAGATTGATTTATAGTGGACTGGATCACCATAAATGGTCAAATATACAGAAAAATGACAAATTTCGGCGATTTTTGGCAAATTGACACTATTTTTTTTGAATATCCTGGAATAAATCGCTGTAAATCGATCCTATTCAACGTAGTTTGTTACGAGCTGCCGAATTATGGCAAAAAAACGGTATGTTCAAGCATCACATTTAGAGCAAATTGCGATAATATGTCGAAAAATGGTCATTTTTTCGGTGATTTTCAAAAAAAATCCGGGGTGACACCAGGCACTATATATCAAAAAAGTGCCGGAACAAAATTTTCATCTCTCCTCATGATCTTTCGATCCCGCACTATTAAATTTTGAATCCTTTTTTTTTGAAAATTGATCACCCCAACCCGACAGTGTGGTCAACATGAACGACGTGAGACAATGCGAGAAAGTCCAATCTTGAATCACTTGATTTGCTTTGATTTGCGTGATCGTTTGAAGGAACGACTTTAATATTTAATTTTTGGCATAGAAAAAATCCCAATTCATATGAAATTGGTCAAAATTCAGTGGAACCAGTCTCTGAACGCGAATCACATGCACACATGTACATTTTTGATTTATTGATAGCCCTTCTTTTATTCACTTGCCCGAAAAATTTGCCTGCGACAATAAAATGATTTCGCCGATATCATTTGATTGTGGCGAATTTAATGTGACATCTGTCATTCGCATTTCATGTTGCATCTCACAATCCTTTGTACTCTTACATTGTGCACAACACGTTGTCGATACAGATTATTTCTAGGCATTAAAAAAATTATTGAAAAAGTTTCTTTATTACAAAATATTCAGCATTCCATTTAATCTACCTGAATTTTGAGGGGAATCTGGTAAATTTAAGCGTCGAAAAGCAGTAAGGTAAAGTGAATTCTGTGAGTTTCTGAAATTATGAATAATTTTTTTTGTCTCATCAGACATTCATTAAAACACATTCAATGGACGCAATTTTCGAATGGTTTTGTTAAGAAAGAGATCCTTCATTCATTGAACATGTTTTGTTATTAAATCCCAAAGTCCGTCGAATGAGAATACGCTTTATTACTCTAATAAAAAATGGTTCATCATTTGCCATAATTTTTTCTGAATATCCAAACATTCAAATTTAATTTCCAATTTAGATGGAAGTAATGGCAATGGATTGGAGAGAAGAGTTGCACACAATGCTTATTGCATTCGAGCGTCAAGCGAGACTCTCTCTGGCCAACATAAAAGTGGCATTTAAACGCAACGGTTTGTCATTCAATCCAAAGTTCAAGCAGTACTTTTTACAGGTGTCAAACACACGGTACGCTCAAGCTAAACTGAGTCATCTTTTTTCGATGCATGGAATAAATGAAGTAATTTTTTTTGTACACATTTCTTAGACTGGAACAAACCTATGATCAGTTCGAATTAAATTCTCAATTGGAAGATGACATCTTTGACCATACAAGCTCAAGTTCGTCACGGGCACGGGCAGCAAGCAGCACCGGAGCTGCCATCGGTTCAACTCATATTAAAAATGAACTGGAAAACAACACTCACAATCTGATCGAGATCGATGATTCAAGCGATGAAGAAGGTGCAACGGGACAAACGTACATTTCCAATGAATCGGTTCATGATGCAACAGCTCCAAACATTGTGTCTGTTGAGAGTTTGGGTGCAAATACGCATGACAAGGGCGGTCGATTGAAGCAAAACAAAGAAAGTAGCCCATGGACGAAAGGAGCAAGAACAGGAGCAAGTGGTAAAGAAAAGTGCAATGGCTTTAGTATTATCAAGAATGTGGCAACTACTGCATGTATAAATGCCGATGGTGCGGCGAACCGGGATCAAACGAACAATCCAATGGTTGTTGATGAAGGTCAACATGTCATGTTGAACGACATTAATGGAGAAAGCGGCGTTAACAATGTATTGATTGCGGTTAATGGTACGTCGAAAGATGGGCAAAGAAATTCCAATGCGCATCCAGCGGACAAAGGATCACAAATGAAGAAGAAGACAATGGTTTCAAGTAATCCACGACTTGCGTTGGAACAATCGAAGCCGAAGAAGCGATTCAGATGCACTATTTGTGAATTTTCTAGCAATATGAAGGGAAATCTCAACGTACACATGCGGAGACACACGGGTGAAAAGCCATATCGATGCGGTCGGTGTGGAAAAGGATTCATAAATGCACATGAATTGAATATGCATGCTGTAACTCACACCGATGATTTCCTGTTCCATTGCAAAGGCTGTCTCGGAAGATTTTCTCTGAAGACTGAACAAGAAGCCCATGAAAAACGGTGCAAGTTACGTCGCTACGAATGCCATCTCTGCAAGAAGTTTGTCAGTTTTGGTAAATCTAATTTGAAATTGCATATGCGATCGCACACAGGTGAAAAACCGTTCCGTTGCGAAATTTGCCTTATGCGTTTTACAGTAAAAGGAAGTCTAAAAAAACATTTAGACCACATTCACGGTAAAGTCAAGTAAACCAAAGTTTATATGACGTTCCAATTTTTCTATAAACACCAATGATTTGCTATAGAAGTAAAGTAATAAGTAACTTATTACTTATTACTTTCATTTTATTACCGTAATAAGATGGACTTATTACTTATTACGCATCTTATTACTCATCTTATTACAAGTAATAAGATGCGTAATAAGTAATAGGTCATCTTATTACAGTAATAAGTAGGTAATAAAGTAATAAGAATTACATTTTTTTACTTCTATATGATTTGCATTAAAGTCCCTTGAATGATCAACACGTTGAAACAAGAAATACATTACCGCAAATGAACATTCTTTCGATATTTAAATTTTCGAACGTTTCGGATTTTAAAAATTGGAATAAAATCCTTTTTCTAATTCATAAATATAAAAATCATGTAGAAAAAACCTAATGATTCTGAATAAAACTGAGAAAGCGAATTAAAAATTTACCTCTTTTATTCACTTGCCCCGGAATGAAACGATTTCACCGATATCATTTGGTCTATGGCGAATTTAATGTGACAGCTGTCATTCGCATTTCATATTGCACAACACAATCCTTTGTATTTTTCCATTGTGCACAACACATTGTCGATACAGAATATTTCTTGGCATTAAATAAATAATTGCTTAAATTTCTCATCCACATAATAATTGGCACTTCAATTAGTTAGAACTAAAGTACTGATCAATACGATTTTGAAAAGATTTTGGTCAATTGAATTGTCGAAAAGAAGCAAGGTAAAGTGAATTATTCGAGTCTTTGGAATTGTGGATAGATTTATTTTCTCATTCATTGAATTACATTCAATGGACGCCATTTTGTAATGGCTATGTGAAGAAAGAGATCTATTACTCATACTATGAAAATAGGAATTTTCTTTTTAAATACTTGAAAAATCTAATTTAATATTCAATTTAGATGGACGCCATGACAATGGATTGTAGAGAAGAGATGCACACAATGCTCATCGCATTCGAACGGCAGGCAATACATTCCTTGGGCAAAATAAGAATGGCTTTTAAACGCAATGGTTTGTCATTCAACCAAAAGTTTAAGCAATACTTCTTGCGGGCGTCGAATGTTCGGTAGGCTCGCTCGCTCATACTAAAATCGAAAACCATATGTTATTCCATTTATTCAATGAATTCTCTAATTCTTTTGTATGCTCACAATTTTTAGATTGGAACAAACCTTCAATCAGTTCGAAATCAATTCACAGTTGGAAGATGAAATCTTTGGCCACGCAAGTTCAAGTACGTCACGGGCAACAGCAAGCAGCGCTGGTGCCACGATCGTTCCAGGCCATTTCAAAATTGAATTCGAGGACCAAACTCACAATCTGATCGAGATCGATGATTCAAGCGATGAAGAAAGTGCAACGGGAAGAGCGCACTATTCCAATGAATCGGTTCGTGATGCAACAGCACCAATTATATTGTCTGCTGAAATTTCGGGTGCAAATGCGCTTGACAAAGGCGATCGATTGGAACAGAACGAAGAAAGAGGAATACCGACGAAAGGAGCCAACGCTATGACCATAATCAGAGGACGTCATCCAATTGCAAGAACAGCAACAAGCGACAAAGAAAGGTGCATTGGGTTTGATGCTGTCCAGAATGAGGACAATACTCCAGCCGAGAATAGCGACGATAATACCACAAACCGCGTTCAAACGAGCAATCCAATGGTTGTTGTTGAAGGTCAACACGCCACGTTGAATGACATGAATGGAAAAAGTGGCGTTTACAATGTATCGATGACAGTTGTTGGTACGTCGAAGGATGGACAACGACTTTCCAATGCTTATTTAGTGGACAAAAGACCAGAAATAAATAAGAAGTCAATGGTTTCAAGTAATCTACGACTTGCTTTGGAACAATCGATGAGGAAAAAATTCAGATGCACTGTTTGTGAATATTCTAGCAATATGAAGGAAAATCACACCAGACACATGCGGAGACACACGGGTGAAAAGCCATATCGATGCGATCGGTGTGGAAAAGGATTCATAAGTGCACATCAATTGAAGATGCATGCTGTAACTCACACTGATGATTTCCCGTTCCATTGCAAGGGCTGTTTCGGAAGATTTTCTCTGAAGACTGAACAAGAAGCCCATGAAAAACTGTGCAAGTTACGTCGCTACGAATGCTATCTCTGCAAGAAGTTTGTCACTCATGGGAAATCTCATTTGAAATTGCATATGCGATCGCACACAGGTGAAAAACCATTCCGTTGCGAAATTTGTATGACGCGCTTTGGTCATAAAATTGGTCTAAAACGACATTTGGACAACATTCACACCAGAATCCATATATAGGATCTTCATAAGAAGCGGGTCTACAACAATGCGATTTTCTCAATTTGCCCAATCTAAAATTGCTCAACTCATTTTATTAACAATTTCTAACCACTTGACGCATCAACCAAATACTTTTATCCGAGATAAATTGACATTTTGCTCATTTTAACCTTTTTAATTCTTTCGTCAGCCATCAAATATAGCTGCAATTTTGACAATAAAACTTTTCTTTTCAGAGAGAAACAATAGAGAATAGATGAAAAACAAAGATTTCAAAAAATCAGAAAAATTCAATATTTTGTCCATCATTAATCAGTTATTTTTATAAGAAGATCCGTATTGATCCAAAAGATTCCTTCAAATCTAGATTTAGTCGTATTCCACACAAATATGTATTGAACTAAAAATATTTTCTGAAATAAATAAAGCAATTTTCCACATTTTTATGGATCAGTTCCGAATAATTGCCGCGTTTTTTTAAAATAAATACGAAAAAATTTCTTTTCAGAGCAAGAATAAAAGCAAAATTTCATTTTATATTTCATTTCATTTTCCATTTAGCCATGAGTCAGTCGAACATTCTCAATTCATACAAACAGCTGTTGAACTGAAAATTATTCAAACATTTGTGGTTCAATTCATCACTAACCAATTTGTACTTTACCATTTCTACCACCAAGTACAAGTATCATCTATTGAATTTGTGCTCAATTTCAAATCTGCTTTGATTTCTCATTGGAATGTGTTGCTGCTCATAGCTCACACGTAGTACTCTGCGTTAGTCACAAGCAAAGACACGAACCGACAACTTAGTGCGAAAGAGAAGAAACGAAACACACCGTACAAGGCCCATACGTCAGTTGAGTTTGACACTTGCCTGTCACTCTGACTGTGTTTATACACGAAAATTATATACATTCGCAACATGTGTTTTGAGTTGGATTAGAATCAATTCCACATTCTTTTTTGTTATAAAATTAGTTGTTTAGTATTTAAAAAGTTTTAGTTCCTTATTAATTGACATAGTTTAATTCAATTGACATAACAACAACCGTAGAAAAATATGGAAAATAGTGACAATATCGACTCGACGGTGAACAATTCACGGCCAAATTCAACAGCTGATGACAACGAAGAAGATGAGAAAGATGTTTGGCTCGATTTGATAGGAATTGCTGCCGATCCGCCGGATAGACGTGAAAAATGTGAAAATTGCCAGTAAGTTAATCGAAACCATTGAAATTAAGTCATTTTATTGATATTCTATTCACAAAAAAAAAATGTTCACTTCTTTAGTCGTCCACAAGTTGTGTGTTGGTGTTCATCGGTGCCGTCGCCACCGCTACGTAGTCGCTCACGAATTGTAATTCTTCAACATCCAGCCGAACAAAAGCGATGCTTGCGAACAGCTCCAATGTTGTCACTGGGATTGGAACCAGGAAAATGCTTGGTTTTTAGGTAAATTTTGTGGTTTTCATTGAATTTGTTTGATTTTTGACAGTCTTTGGTTGAATTGGATTGATTTGGTAATATTGATTTATTGTGAATCGAATGAATTTTCAATATTTTTGTTAAATTTGATCGAATTGTCACTTTTTCGGGAGAATTTTTTAAGATTTCGACAGTTTTTTTTAAATTAAAACCAAAAAATTCCAAATTTTATTGATTTTTCAATCAATTTGTCTCCAAATTTAGCTTTTTCGATCATTTTTTCCAAACATATTGTCAATTTGTATTCCAAATTCAATTCATTTACCACGGGACACGATGGGACAAGAGCCGTGTTTAAATTTACGCAAAGCAACTTGTTAAATCTTGAACCAAAATCTTTACTTTACTCATTTCCATTTTTAAAAAAAACTCTCACATTTCCTCCCAAAACAGAGGCAAACGTTTCCCGCAATCACGGCAAGTTGAAGGTGATGTTAGCTTAGAATCGATAATGACGGCCAAAAATACGTTGCTTTTATACCCTAGCAAAGATTCAATACCATTGGATGACTTGGATCCATCCGATGGCCTATTCAATTTGATTTTGCTCGATGGAACATGGCCACAAGCAAAGGGAATCTATGCGACATCACCTTTATTGCATAAAATGCGTCAGGTTCGATTGGTTATGTCACGCACCAGCACTTACGTCATCCGAACACAGCCGATGGAAGGATTTCTGAGCACATTGGAAACAGCCGCCGAAGCATTGGCCGTTCTGGAACGTGATGACCGTTTCCGCGATGAATTGGTCCGGCCGTTGCAGACGCTGTGCAAATTTCAACTGGCAAATGGAGCCGTTGAACATCAATCGAAAGAATACTTAATCAAAAATAATCAGTACAACAAACCCGTTGGCCATCGGTTGAACAAATTGCTGCGGGCAGCCAAATGTTCCAAATCGGCCGAAGAAAGTAACAACAATGACGATGATGGTGGAGAGAAAAAATTGAGTGAATCATGATTGGAAGGATAAAATGAATGAAATGATTCGATGTTTTTCTAGAGAAAAGTATCACCGAATTGATGGAATTAAATGAAAATTTGGATTTTGTAAAGAAATAATTTTGGGAGTCCAATTAATTTGCATCGGATTTTCGATTTGAAACAAAAATTTGATAACAAATCGATTGAGAGCAAATTTTTGATAAAAAAATATCAGTTCATGGCCCATTTTCAGCATTTTTTTTTCAATTCGATTCCAAACATATTTTTCAAGCAAAATCCAATTTTTCATTTAAAACACTCAAATTCAAACAATTTTTCCCAAATAGGAAACGTTTTTCTAATTTCTATCTAAATAGATCAAAAAATTTCAGAACTGTATAGAAATGATACGTAGAATAAACAAACTTATTTAATGTTATGTTGAAAAGAAATCTATGTAAAAACGAATTATAATTAGTTTATCACATTTTGTGATTCATTTGATTTTTTGTTTGATTTATTTCACTCATGTTGTGATCAAGTTTAGTTCTATGCATCGGAATTCTCATCAATTGCAAGAGAAATATAAAAATGATAAAAAAAAATAAAATCTGTTTTCAAGAGAAATAATAAAAAAAAATATTTATTTAGACAAAAAATTTTGTTCTCATTTTGCTTATCACAAATTGTGCAATTTTTTGACAGTAAAACAAATTCCGTAAAATTTTGTGTAGTAAAAACAAAAAAATCTTGAGTAAAAATAAAATAAAAGAATGACAACAAATAAGTGATAAAGAGACAAGAACATTTTTACTGGTACTACTTTGCCCAGGGCCTGAGCTTTAGATAAATAGAAATGCTGAAATAAAACGCTTTGTTTTCATTCATATGTAATTACATTCCATTTTCACATTTCTATGGGTGAGATTGAGAGTGGAGTATGTTTTTTCTTCGATTTATATTTTTGAAAAGGCGAGTATGTTTTCTGATGATTCTGTTGGCGTTAAAGTAGAGTATGTCGTAGTACCGTCTAGCCTCCGCGGTCTTCATGGTTTTCACGCAACTGATAAAAGATAACAACATGGTGTCTTCAGCAAAGTTGTAGTACTTGAGGTCTTCTATAACTAAGCTGAAGACAGTTATCTCTTATCTCTTATCAGTTGCGCGCAAATCGCGCACATAAAAAAGCAAATTTTATATAGAACTTTTTTTTTCTTATCATTTTTCGCGCTTTTCGCGGAACTGATAAGAGATAAGAGATAACTGTCTTCAGCAATGTTATAGAAGACCTCGAGTGCTACAATTTTGCCGAAGACACCAAGTTGTTATCTCTTATCAGTTCCACGGAAACCGTGAAAAACCGCGAGGACCCGCTAAAAACGAACATACTCGCTTTTAACCATTTTTAAGTCGACAGAAACTTGCTCTTCTCTTTCGTAAAGTCAATCAAACATACACTACTCTCAATCTCACCCATAGATTTACATTACATTTTTGTGTTTGAATGAGTTTTTTTTTCGTTCATTGTGCTATAACACTTTTTCAATTCGTTGATTAATTTAATGAATTTAAATAGGCAATTTACCAATAGCAAGCTATTACCAATAAAATTAAACGTATGCCATAGTTTGATTATATTTCATTTTAATTTTTTTTTTAAGAAAAAAAATTCTTTCCAATCAATTGGAAAATTGAAAAAAAGCAAAAAAAAAACATAATTAAAATAGAACATCAGAATGTGTTTAATTAGTAAATTTAATCAAATATCGTAAGCTAATTTCCAGTACAGTTTGATCCATGAATTTCAAAATATTCCGTGATTCATACTCCATGGAGTACATGCATGTAGGAAATTTTCATACAAATTTACTCTATCGTTAGACTCTGTTTTCCTAGTCTTTTTCAACCAACCAAATGGACGACCCTTTGAACGATTCGATCAATCCATTGAAAAATTGCCATCATTAACTTTACCCGACCGACTCATTCTCTGAGCACCAACTACGTCGTACTCAGTACATCAAATACGTTTGTAGTTGTCATGCGGTTTTGGTGTCTCGTATTGGAAGTAGTTGTGTTTGTGAGAAGTCCATGTGCGAATGTGCACATGCTGTCAGCAAGTCTCATGCTTGCCGCAACGTGACTGCTCCGTTTCGGCTGTGTGTATACACTTTGTGCCAAAGCCATTTGTTTACAAACACACGAAACGACCGTATTGAAAGCATTGTGAGTAGAGTGTGCCCACAAACAACACGGTACGTGGATTGAAACGATGTGCATGTGTACGGCCTGTCACAATCTCTCGTTGCTAACGACAAACAGCTCACCATTCGATTGCGCTCTCTCTCTCGCGCTTGTTCTCTCTTTAGCTCAGTTGAAATATGCTCGCAGCATGGTGTGTACGCTTTTCCATTTGGATTCGGTAAAGTCTAGCATAGCAATAGAAAAGCATCGAATCGGTTAGTCGAGTGTGCGATCTAATCGAAGCACCATCCATCATTTTTCGTTCGTTTTTCTACAGCCCTATCACTTTCGCGTGTATCGTGTCGCGTAACAAAAGAAGCGTAAACAACAAACAGAGAACAGTGTTTGTGTTTCGGATTTTTTTTTCCATTATTTTTATTAACAATTAAATTTGGTTCTTTTGAGCGTGGAATTATTTTGTTTTACTGAATGTGAGTTATTAACGTGATAATGTTTGAGTTGTATTTTTTATGCCGCTGAGAATTGTAAATTTAACACTGGAATAGGCCGTGCTTTGGATGATAATTGTGTTTTGTTACTGGTTTTTGTTACGAAAAATGAAAGAATAATGAGGAATTCATCAATTTAAAAATAACTTCATGATGTTAAGGAAAATTTTGGAAGATTTTACTTCATTTTTGCGTGTTTTTGCTGAAAAAAAATATGAATGTTTCAACTGGTATTTGTTTCTGTGCTAAAGTGACATCAGTGTGAGGTGTTTGCGTTGAATATGCAAGATTTTGCCTAAACGGCTAGTATTTTTGTGTTGAGTGTGTGGGAATTTATTGAAAAACTAATTGTTTTCATTCATTGACTTGATAATTTCTTAAAATGAATAACAGATTTTACATCAATCGTCTATTGTTTCGAATAAAACTTGTATTTTGCTTCATTCAACCTCAATAGTTTATTTTGAAAGACTCAAGTTTTCGTATGATTCTGGTTATTTATAGTCTAAATTCGATAATTTTGGCCATAAACTTGACATTTTTAGCCACAAATATACCTTATTCGCTAGTGATTTTGACTATTTTTGTATAAATTTGATCAATTTTGTGATGAATCAATTGTAATTTTGTCTCATTTTCCAGAAATTTACCTTATGTTAGTCTTATTTGCCAGAAATTTAGCCCTATTTGCCTGAAATTCAGTCTTATTACGTCTTATTTACTTGAAACGTGTCTATTTTTGCTTAAACTCCATCATTTCTGCCACAAACAAGCCTTAAATTCATTTTTAAATTTCAAATTTCCGACATTTGGCCTATGAATTGTCTATTTATTAACTAAAATTTTGCTGCTTTTGCTTCTGATTTGCCTACTTCTGCCTTGAGATAACGTAATTTGCCTTTAAAAAGTTCATGTTTACATCAAATTTACAAGATTATGACATGAAGTGTCCATCACTTCGCCATTAAAATTTCAACATTAATAATTTTTCAACTCCGTAAAAGCAGTGAATTATGCCTTTATACATAACGAACAGAACTTAAGTATAATTTCCAATTTTTCTCCCCCCAAACTCCATCAATTTAAAAGTATTTTTTTCATTAAAAAGAATTACTCAAAAACATATCGACTATAAATACACAATTCGTTTGTTTGCTGTTGGTGATATGCGTACGAGAATATACATACCACCATACCGCCATAGATCGATTATTTTGAATGATAAGTTTTAATTGAGGCAAAATGCTCGTTTCGAAACAAAGCTGTAGAAAAAAAACAACTGGCTCGTCTCATCGCAAGTTATTTCTATAAATTCAGTTGATTGTTTTGTATGGCTGATGCGTTTACTGATTGCATTTAATTGAAATGACTGTAAACAGTGATGATGTTGTGAGTAATCATCGGGCTCTGATGACAAAATCGAATCGGAATGGTGCGATGCGATACGTATCGTGCCCCCTCCCACTGAAAATAAAAACAAACCAAATTGAATTGATCAAGTATGGTGGCTTCATCAGTCGCCAGCTGATTTTTCGTAACTTGCTTCGGCTATTGTTTCTTGTCGCATTGCGTTCTGTTGTATTCATTCAAGACCATAATTAATCACTTTACAGTTGCTTAGTGAGCAAAAAAAAAGAAGCGAATGTAATTTGTTGGATTTCATGGCGTGAAACCTTAACAACGCTACGCTCAACAGATCCAAATCAAGCGGAATGAAATGAAACAAAATTGAAAATGAATCGCCTAAGGTCAACGCAAATTTTGACATTTGGCCTAGACCTTTGCATTCCGCTTGGAATACATTCGCTTACTGTGTCGGTTTCACTATGTATATCTCTCTCTGCCTTTTTCTCTCTCTCTCTCTATTTTAGCTGTTTCATTTCCAGTTTAATAAAGAAACAATCATCCATATGAACCAGCCCAACAGATTCCATGACGTAATACAATAAAATCATTTTTCTGAAGCATATAACCCGGAACGCTCGGCGTAAATTGCGACAAAAAGCCGATAAAACGCAAAAATCATACACAATAGCAAGCAAGAAAAAAAACACCGAGACGACACATAGATAAAAAAAAGTTCACCGCTTGTTTTAGGCCGCACGATCCAAAGTAAATAAACAGGCTGAGAGTGTGAGTAATAAGCGAGAACGACAACGAAGACGATTTGAACAAAAACAACAAAAAACAACAAAGTGAATAAAATAGCTTGAAAAACGGGTTTTTCGCTTTCGCTCAACTCCACTGACTCGAGTTTGAGTATTTTTCCGTACATGCTTTGAGGCGGCTGTTCGGGTTTTTGTTGTCACATTTTTTTTCTCCTCATTGTATCAAAGGCGGCGGCAGCAGCGTGTAAAATACCTCTTTATCACGTATCAATATCAAATAGCTGCATATATCAATGCAAAATCACGACTTTTTTTCTTTCGCTCTCACACTTTCAATCAGCTCTTACCTTTTTTTCGCTCGCTCTTGCTCTCGCAATCGACTCTTGCAGTTTTCAATCGTTGTTTTTCTCTTTCTCTATTTCTATCGTTATCTGTTTCGTGTATGTTTCTATCGCTACTCTCTTTCTTTTCACCATATTTCAATCGTCTCTACCTCTGATGCACTGAGTGGCTCTCAGTGAGAGCTCCTCATTCTTTCTTCCCATTCCATACTCAAAGTCTTTCTCACTCTTCTTCCTATGTTTCTCAGTTTTCCTCTTTCTATCTGCTGTCAACACTTTTCGCTCTCCTCCTCTATGTCTCTTTTTCCTTCTCTGCCCTTCTCTCCACCATATCTGTATCGTTCCATTATACGACCGCAGTCGCGGCGGTTTTCCTTTTTGATAGACTTAAATGAAAATGATGAAGCAGAAACGCTGTGACAGAAGTTAAAAAAAAACCACACAAAGCACGTTCATCACATAAAAGGCGGCAATTTGATATTGATCAATAACGGAATCTCTTCTCTTTTTTCTCTCTCTCCATGCATGTATCTCTTTTCAACAAAACAGAAAACGGACGGCAGTTGTTCGTGATAGTGAAGATAAATGTAAAATAGGACTGGTCCGCATCAATTTTCGTTTTCGGCGTGTGTTTGACTCGAACGGTATTTAAATAAACCTACACACACAATGTGTACGCGTTGCTATTAAGTGTAATTGTAGCATATTTAAATCGAATTATTCTTAAATTTGCATTAATAAAACGGTGCGGTGTTGACAGAGCTGGCAAAGATTGTGTTTGTGTGTCAAAAAAAAAATAGATAACGAAAGATTAAGTGTTTGTGTGATTTTCGTGGTACGGGCTCACGGAGGAAAAAAAAACACTGAATTTCACGTTCAAAGCACGCACAATCGATACAAATTCATGAGCACAGCACAGTTTAACGCGCAGACCCGAGCAACAGAACATCAAATTTCATCCGTGAAACAGTTGATCGCCAATGGCAACCATCGATTCAGGTATGTATCTTTTGCTTTAATTATTATCTCGTCACAAGCAGCGAATCACAAACGGTGGTTCAATTCATTCCATCTGTTGTTTTTTTTTGTTGTGGGTCGCTTTTATTGTATCTTATTTCTTGCCATACTCGCTCAAACCAAGTTTGATGTTCGATATACAGATATTCGGTGGGCTCATTTTAAAACAAAGTTGTTCAATAATGAACAGCTATTTATAGCCGAGCGTGTGAGATAAAATATTGACGATATTTTTGTTTGAACATTTAATGCCGCCTACCGAAATAAAGAAATGTTTTTCGATCTCATTGCCGAACCGAAAATTGTGCCGTATTTAGTACCGTCATTTAGTGCCGTATTTGGAACAAATGCGAAAATCCATTTGTATCTCATATGTGAGCTGGATACAAATAAAAGCCTTGCTTAAGTATTCATTGAACGAGTCGTTCAATGAACGAGACGCAAACATAAAAATCCAACAAAATCGACTCCCGGTTTTTCGCTGTGAAATGATACACATACGTCATCATTTTTGTTGCTGCTGTTCAACAACGCATCATGTGAAAACGCATCAATCAAACGGAACGGATGGAAAAATAAAACTTCTCTTTTTTTTTTTGATGGAAAAAACACAAAGTGTCAATGGACGAAACACAAAGACGGTTTTTTTTCCTGCCAAAAGCGGAAATGATTTGAGCCAAAATGTATTGGATTCTTTTTTGATTTGATGATTTTTTTTCATCGCTTTTATAAATGAAAACGGCGACAGTGACGATGTTTGTAGTCAAGAGACAGGTAGAAAGGGAGAGAAAGAGATACAGAGAGGCAGAGAAAGAATGAAAGAGACAGAATGAGAGCGAGAAGAGATACAGAGAGTGAAACTGAGAGCACAAGAGCACACATGTCATCGCTTCTATAACTAACCGTAACTACGGATAAGCGAATCAATTTGTTTGCTTCTTTTGTCGTCGTCGAATTCAACGCTACTATCCAAGCCATTGTCAATGGCTGTGTGTGTGTGTGTGTTGTCTGTGCTTGGATCTAAACTAAATCGAACCGGAGAAAGTGAGTGCGTTTAGTTGTTGCTTATTGCTGTTGTTGTGCAAGCGTTTGCTTGACAAGCAGCTAACAAAACCAGATTATGTGCATTAAATAGATTTGTTTGAATCATAACAATAACCGTAACGCTGAATCACAGTTTGTAGCGCTGTGTGTAAGGTACAAAACGATGTTGATAAATTTCATCGAGCGATTTTTTTGCATGACAAAGATCAAGTTCGATTCATGTTCCACCGGTGGATAATTCAAATGAGTTGAAGAACTCAACGTAACAAAAGCTCAGAATTTGACGAAACACTAAGCAGAATTAAATCTTAATACAAAGAGAACCATAGCAATTTACAATGTGAAATTTTGATTGTAGTTCAGCTGTTTGCCAATGTTAGCACACCTGGTGGCACCTGAGTGATAAAACCCATTTTCACAAACGCGCCATAAATACCGTCACTTGAAGGACTAATGAGATTCCTGGTGTTGTCATAAATTCAATTTGAAGACTGAAGAGTACAAGCCACGCGCTCGATATTTGTTGCGATCCAACTTAGACATTCGTCGGTTGCTTTCGTTTGTTCTTCCACGCGCTGTTTGTCGTACTTTTTCTTTCTTCTTCTCAATCAATTTTTCGCTTTCACTGCTTTTCGTTCTCGTTTTGGCTTTCTTCTCCCGTGTTTTTCTCTTTTCTTCACTTTTCTTCACTTTTCTTCACTTTTCTTCACATTTCTTCATTTCTCTTCACTCCTCTTCGATTCCCTCTAACACTTTCTCTGTCTCTTCTATGTAACTCTCTATCTCTCCTAGGTCTCTTTTGATTTCCCTTCTTCATTTTACTTTTCATCTACTTCCCCTTACCTATCTCGCTGAGCTTTTTGTCCGTTTCTTGCTACCTCATTCCCTCCTTTCTCACTTTCTCCCATTCCCTTACCACCCCTTTTTCTATACTTCACCCTCTTTCCTGTCCGTCATCAAAGGTTATCGGGTTGTCTTTCTCCAAACTCGGCAAACAATCGTTTCGTGGAAGCGATATATTTGCTTGCTTCGTTTGATTTACAACCATTAAATGGTTTTTTCGCCCACTTCCCATACATTCACTACTGTGAAACTTGACATATGCACAGCTCTTCCGCTGAAACAGTCGTATTAAGTTATATGGAATGCTTCTTATGTATATCGATTTGTTTCATACACGAAACATTTGCCTTATTTTCTCATTCGGATACCCACACATGCCGAATTTCTGACATTTTCACACAGAAAAAAAACAACAAGCTTGACTTGTCTTGAAAATAGGTCAAATGCACAATCCTCATATTGTGCGCTCCAATTCAAACGAGATATTACAAACAAATGGAATAATGACGCGATCAATTAAAATGATGACTTTTCGAAGCGAAATGAACATAATGACTTGTAAACACCGGGTTAATATCTCGTGGCAATGGGGAAAATTGGAATCAATATTTGTGTGATGGAAAAAAAATGGAATTTCTATTTATTGTGAATTTATCGATCTGCGTCTTATCGCAATTTGCTATTGCATACAAAACAAATGAGAAAATGCTTGATGGGATAATAAGAACTTCCTTATCAGCAATCAACGACGTAATTATTAAGCAAGTAGAAAGAAAATATTGTGTTTCATTTTCTTATGGGCGCGTCATCCTGTTTCGACGAAATAGATGAGTCAATAATGACGGGTAGTAATCAGGCAAAGTTGATCAGGTGAATTTACTTAGTGCGCACTCTGGTTTTTTTTTCTTCTCATTCGTCGGAATAATGGAAATTGTAAATAGGAAAGCGTGTCTCTCGTAATGAAGCGCATTCGTTGGCATCGATTTGGCTCATCAACAGGCAGGTCAATCAGCAGTTGCCATAAAATATGTAAACAAGCGGTCATATCAGCGTCATTCGAATGCGTTTCGATTCGATGTGAGAAAGACTTTATTGATTTATCATCAAAATCGTTTGGTAATTCTGTTTTGTCTTTTCCGAACGCATTTTTCCGTAATTTCAAGCGGTTGTATTGCTAAATAGACACCGGAGTTGTGTTGCTGCTGCGGCTGGATTTATGGGCCCATAAGAAATGCGTAATAAATTATTTGGTCGTTGTTTTCATTCTGACTGAAATACCGTGCACCAACGGAGAGCGAGAGAGACGCAAACGTGACCATCCACGTCGTAATTATGTTACGCGAATCCCATAAAACTCACACGAATACATTTAGCAATGCAGGAAATTTGTATGTTTTATCACATTCGTTCGTACGCAATTTTGGAACATTATTCATTTGTCCTGACACACGATTTTTATTTTGTCGATTCCTCTAAAGGCTCGGTGTTGCTGAATACATATATGTGTGTGTGTGACATAGACAAGCCACTCCGACACATTCTTTATCGAAAACTAAGGCATCGAAAACGTGTGTGTATTTGAACGTGTATCATTGTAACCGAACAAAAATAACCGCTTCAAATCGCTTTTGTTTTAAATGACTGGAAACAACTTTACGCAAACAAATCACCGGGAATTGTGCCAAACATTTTTGTTCTCTCATTAAAAAACCGTTTTTATTGGTTTTTGCACACAGCAACACATTAAATGGGGCAATTGTTTGTATACGAAATCGGAGCTGCGCTGTTTTCAATGCGGAATTTAAGCATTTTTTTTGCTCTGTTCATTTCGATAGGGATGCTCTCAAGCAAAACGGCATCGGACGATGAAGCTTTTGTACTGCGACAACGATGAGAAACAGAAGAGAAAAAAAATGCGGTATAAATCCCTTTTTCTGCTGCAGGCACACATTCCCATGGAATTGCGCACTTTTCATCAAAGTAACACAAATAATTCGAAATTTGGCACAACTCCAACGGAGAGAAACCGATATCACCATCGAAACGCTGACAGCGACAACAACAAAATGAATCCACATTTCGCTCTCTTCATTGTCTTGAATTTTCGGTCTAGTTTATTGATTTGCTTAATGCGTACGTACTTTTTTTTTCTAGCTCCAGACTGTGCGCTTTTCGGTGTCGCTTTCGCTTTTTCTCTTCATTTCCTTCCATTTTTCATACCTTTTTCAATCCATCTTTCTCTATCTATTTGTCTCTGTCCCTTCTTATTCACTCCCTCTTTGTCTCGCTCGCTCGCTCTTTAATTCCCTCAATTTCTTCGAAAAAATGCCTCTCTTTATATCTCCCAGTCTATCACTCACATTATTTATTTTTCAATCTCTCTGTATATCGATTCGCATTGAAAATTCAAGCGCGTGCAGAGCTGGAGCAAAGCACGCATATACGGCTGTCAAAGAATTGTTTTCGGCCAACACACTTTTTTTACGCTACATTTAAATTTAAAATGAGTTCCGAAGTGGTTTTTAGCATGAACGAGAGCTTCTATCTAGGGTAGCTGCTATTAAGGCCGATTATCGTTTAGTCGGTCGGTCATGTACCCACCCGAAAATGGGCCACTTTTTACGAGAAGTAAAAACATCTGTTGATTTTCGATTACAAACCCACATCGATTTTCTCTATTGGTAGTGCGCTCTCCATTTCCAATTCTGAGACCATTGTGTAACTACGACGCGTGTGTATATGAAAATGGTGCGTTGTTTTCGAGTCACATGGACGAAGAAGGCGAAAGCAAAAAATCGATAGCAAAGGAAGAAGGACAGGACTTTGTCGTTTTCCATTTTAACACAATTTTACAACGTGTTTTTACACACAGAGAGACAGAACCTGCCGGAAGTCTATTGTAAGCACTCATTTTTCAAGTTACAATCAATGGAAATTCGGAGCAACGAAAAAACAGTTGCTAAGTAGTACATCTTAAATCCATTACACACGTCGCCGTACATCAAGAATTTCCAACATTCCACTATTTCGACTATCGACACACTTACGCCTAATCATCATTTATGAATGTCAACAACGGAACATTTTTGAATTAT